CGTGGTTATAAGGCTTCTCTCCAGCTATTATTGTTCAGTTGGTTATTCAAGATGACTTCTCTACAATTTAGTTGTAATTCCAGATTGGTCCTGGGAGAAAGTTGGTGTAGCTTCCACTTAACCCTCTGCCATCTTGGATCTCCCTCTAGACTGTCTCTTAGAAACATTTTGTGACTTCCAGTCAAGATAGCAGTGTAGGTAAATGCAACTCACCTCCTTGCATAATCACAGCAAAATTGCAGCTAAACTACAGGACAATATCACTCAGAACTTTCAGAAAATCATGCTATATGGAAGTCCAACAACAAAGAAATTAAAGAAGCCATATTCATCCAGATGCATGGAGGAATGGAGGGGCAGAGACATGGAATGGACTGGTCCCAAACCCATATGTACTGGATATAAAACAGAGGGATATCTTGGGAGCAAGGGATCCTGGCCCCATACCAGACCACCCAGCCAAGGGTTCCAGTGTCAGGAAGATAAATTCCCATAACTTCTGAATGTATAAACCAGTGAGGGTTGTGTCAGCAGAAGAAACTGCGGGATTTTCAGGCATCTCCTCAAACTTACCCAGACTCACACCTGCTGAGTGCCAGCACCAGGGTGGCATCTTGAAGGACACCAGTGGCATATGAGGTGGAACTGAAGTGTCTGGCATGAGGGAGAGAGCTAAGGGACAGCTTCCTCCCAGACAGAACTGCAGACAGCAGCATTGATCCTTTTTTGAGCATTCTCCCACATAGAGCCACAGTACAGTGGCACCATATCTGAGTCTCCATCAACCTGGCTTACATGGAAAATCCTGGCCTGATGATTACCTAAGGCTCTGCCCCATCAAACTTACTGGCTCATCCAAGCTGGTAACAGTGGGTTTTCCATGTGAATGGCTGGGCTAGGTTCAGGCTTCAGATGATCCTAAATATGCTCAAACAAGCAATAGCTCAGTGCCCAAACATCTCAGTAAGTGACCCCAGGCCTGGCACTAGAAGCAGCCATCTGAAGATCACGTTATAGCTTATGCCAAGAGGCTACAGACAGAACACAGGTGGAGACTGACCTTTACCTACACCACCCAGGAAACTCGAGCTTGAACTCCCATGGACAGTTACAGACCATATCAGAGCACCACCCCCTAAATATCTCCACTAACCATAGAGGGAGATGGTTGCAGGCCAGGAGACATAGGAAGTCCAACCAGCTGTTTGGAATAGGTAAATTTCTCCCATTGACTTGCTGATAGCAATCAGGACTCAACTATAAGAGGAGATAGTAAGTATTCAGCTCACATGGAGTATGTACCTTGAGTACCCAGCTTAGGAGTTGGGGAGGCTGTGCCATTGGACCTTAGAAGTGTAGGGACCCTAATCCTAATATATTAGGCCATGTTACCAAGACACAGAGTAGTAGCTTTACCTAATATATAGAAACAAATACAGGGAGACTACCAAATGAGGAAAAAAAGAAATATTGCCTAAATGAAAGAACAGACCAAAACTCCAGAAAAAGAACTAAACAAAATGGAGATAAGCTATCAGATGCAGTGTTTAAAACACTGGTTATAAGGGTGTTCAAGGAATTCAGTGGGTATTTCAACAGCATAAAAAAGTGATCCAATCAGAAATGAAGGAGACACTAATTGAAACAAAGAAAAATTTACTGGGAATCAACAGTGAAGGGCATGAAGCCGAGAATCAAATCAATGATTTGGAACTGAAGGAAGAAAAAGACAACCAATCAGTTCAACAACAAGAAAAAAAAAAGAATTCAAAATATTGAGGAGAGTGTAAGGAGCCTCTGGGACAACTTCAAGTATTCCAACATTCACATCATATGGGTGCCAGGAAGGGAAAGGAAAGAGCAAAAAATCAGAAACCTATTTGAAAAAAAATAATAAAAGAAAACTTCCCTAATTTAGTGAAGGAAATAGATGTGCAAGTCCAGGAAACACAGAGAGTCCTACACAAGATAGATGCAAAGAGGACCACACCAAGACATATCATAATCAAGATACCAAAGGTTAAAGATAAGGAAAGAATCTTAAAAGCAGAAAGAGAAAAGCAGGTAATTACCTACAAAGGATTTCCCATAAGATTGTCAGCTGATTTCTCTAAAGAAACTTTGCAGGCTAGAGGGGACTGGCAAGAAGTATTCGAAGTCATGAAAGGCTACCTACAACCTACAACCTACAACCTAGATTACTCTATCCAGCAAAGCTGTAATTTAGAATGGAGGGGAAGATAAAGAGCTTCCTAGAGAAGAAAAAATTAAAAGAGTTCATCATCACCAAGCCATTATTATACGAAATGTTAAAGAGACCTATTTAAGAAAAAGATCAAAACTATGAACATTAACATGACAATAAATAGCCCTGGCTGGTGTGGTTCAGTGGATTGAGTGCCGGCCTCAAACCAAAGAGTCACTAGTTCTATTCTGAGTCTAGGACACATGCCTGAGTTTCAAGCCAGATCCCCAGTAGGGGGTGCATCAGAGGCAACCACACATTGATGTTTCTTTCCCTCTCTTTCTCCTTTCTTTCCTCTCTCTCTAAAAATAAATAAATATAATCTTTAAAAGATAAAATAAAATGGCAATAAATACATAACTATCAACATTGAATCCAAACACAACTGAGCAAACAAGCAGGACAGAAACTAATCATAGATATGGAGAACATTGGGGTGGTGACCAGTGGGAGGGAGGTCTGGGAGAACAGCAGAAAAGGTGAAGGGATTAAGAAGCACAAATTGGTAGGTACAGAATAAGCAAGATGGAGTTGCCAAAGAACATACACATGTGACCCATTGACATGAACAAAGGAGGGGGGATTGCCAGAGGGAGTATGGGTTGCTGGATAGAGAGGGCAAAGAGGGCAAAATTGGTACAACTGTAATAGCATAATCAATCAAAATTTTAAAAAAACATTTTGCAACATTCATAGTAGTGTTAGAAATTTTACATGATGAAGAAATTTCCTCTAAAATATATTCCAAATCCTTTAAGTTTTACAATCCTATCCATTTTTATATCCTCATTGGAAAAAAGTGAGTTTTAATTTTGATGAAAAATCATTTGTTATATTTACAGAATGCTTATGCTGTGCCAAAAATATTTAAGACATTGGCCTTGCTGGACAAGGAAGTTGCAACCATTGAATGGAATTTCCATATTTTCCTGCTCCCTTTCTTAAATCAGAAAAGCCAGCTTTTGTGTTGCCTGTCACTACCAAACCAGTAAGTAGAGACAGGGATTGAATTTTTATGGGCACTTTATTCAGACAATTGGCATTCTGAGAAGACCCTAACAGACAATCTTAAATTCCATTTTAAGCCAACCTGTTTTATAAGGAGAAGAAAAGTATAGTTAAGGGGATTGGAATTCAGGGGAAAAGTTAATTAGATAGTTAATTAGTTAAAAGCTGCAGCGTTCTTTCATCTGTGCCCTGGGTGGTGGGTGTCTCACCCTGGAGTACAATGGCTCAGATACCACCTTGATTGCTTGCAGTCCTCTTGAGGCACAAAGGTGGAACTACTTATGGTCTCCTGGAGTCAAGGTGAGTCATACTTTCAGTTCCTAAAACAATAGCTTTTTGCATACATTGATTGCTAAGCTTATCAGCATTACCTAAAACTAAAATTTTTCTAACATTTGAGTCCCTCATCAATTCCTTTATATTTCTGTGCCCCTTATCTGAATAACCCTGTTTTTTCAAGAGGTAGACACAATGTAAGGCAGGAATAAATGGAAGAGAACAGGAGAGACACATGCAGTTACCTCAGGGACTTATTTAGAAATCAGGAGAGCAGCAGCAAGGAGGACTTGACTGTGTACATTGCACACTTGAGGCTCACTGCCCAGCTAACATATAGTTTAGGCTTTGTTGAGCCAACATCTTGCAGAGAAGAAAAATCATATTTTTTATCCCACTTTGAGGTCGCTTACAGTAAAACACATGCACAGAGAGTGCTTAACTGTAAATCAGCAGGAGCTATATATAAAAAAGGAGGGTTCATGATACTAGGAATCAGATATAAGACAACTACTCAGCATGCTATCTCTGAACTTCCTTAAAGCCAAGTAAAAATGGAACAATAATAGTTCAAGACTTAAATATTAATGCATCGTGTATACTCAGTTATGAAAATGGTAGCCTACCCCACTTTTGTCTCTAACCTTTCTCTTCTTTTGTCTTATACTTTGGCTACATTTAATGATTTCAACTTGGATGCTTTCTTGACCTTTATATTTTTGATATAATGAAGCTGATTAGTAACAAATGGGCAATTTGAGGAGAAAGCTCTTACTATTTATCTTGTAGTCATCAGACTCACTTCACATAGAAAGGTCTCTGGGTTTTACAACCAAATCCAGAACTTTCAAACTCTCAAAGGTAAATGTCACAGATCCCATTAACCAAATTATTACATGAACCTAAAAGGTCTTTGGGTCTTTTTTCCCCTTCATCCTCCATGAAATTCTAGAATACATTTCCCTTGTGTTATATTTCCTACTCCCTCTTAGTCTACTCCACTATCCTTATTTTAAAAATACACAGTTGTTGGGTGCAAGAACTAAAATTCTGTAAAGAATTTGCTGATTTTATTGCTTTTTTTTTCTCAAGAAGGTGAAAGGAAGAGAGCAACAGTTTCTAAGAAGCCTGGCCTGATTCAGTCTAGCTTTCAGGAAGATTAAGCCAAGGTTTTGACCAAGCAAAATTGCCAGTTCCCTAAAAGAAAAGGCTAGCACATTGCTCATTAGAGCATTCTAAATTTGCCTGTGAAATCTTTTTGCTACCATGCAATTTTCTGTTGGTTGTAAATGAAACCTTTCTATCTGTTAATCCAACCTGTGATTTGAAAAAAAAAACTTGCAATTAATCATAGCAGGTGGGAGGATTCACTAAGCCTGAGTATATGGGAGAAGCTGAACAAGGCACTAGGACCTAGAAGGCATCTATCCACCCTGGCAGGAATTTCTTGCTTGGAGCTCGGACAACAAAGGCACAGAGAGATTGGTTTTCTTTCTCTCAGCATCTCCACCCAACCAGCAGAAAACCGGTGAGTGGGGCTTTCAAGTTATTTTCAGGCAGCATGTAACATATGTCAAATGGGAAAAGCACAAGGCAAAGTGCTCGTCCTCTCCTCTCCTCTCCTCTCCTCTCCTCTCCTCTCCTCTCCTCTCCTCTCCCTCTCCTCTCCTCTCCTCTCCTCTCCTCTCCTCTCCTCTCCTCTCCTGTCTCTTTCCCCCTTCCTTATTATTGGATTCTTTCCTTAAGCATCTACCTGGAATTTCCCTTTGGAAAAGTGAGTTTGATGTTTCTTTGTTTTCACCATGATGTTGATTTAGAATAATAACCCCTGACACTAGAGCAAAGCCAAGCGTTAAAGCAAGCCTGGGGAAATGCTTGCTACTGGTCTTGAGGAGGTGGGGTTTCTCAATACTGCAGGTTGTCTGACAAAGACAATGCTGAGCTCAGCACAGGTCATGATGACATTGGGAGAAAAGCGGGGCCAAGCCTGGCAAACCTGTTAGGCACCAGTCCTCCTTTATCTCCTGTCGTCCTGGTCCCTTGCAAATATCTCAACATGACAATGTATAGCAGCTGAATCCTGCTTGCTTTGTGAGTCTTTTTATCCCAGTATGTGAGATGCATGTTAATAGTTTGTTTCTAAAGCTGTCACCACCTTTGCTGGCATTTCAGACTTCTGTTGTGTCTTCTGTTTCATGTTGTGATTTTCTTCTCTTTTCTTTCTTTCCCCACCCCTCTCTCTCTCCTTCCTCCCTTCCTCCCTTCCTCCCTTCCTCCCTCCCTCCCTCCCTCCCTCCCTCCCTCCCTCCCTTCCTTCCTTCCTTCCTTCCTTCCTTCCTTCCTTCCTTCCTTCCTTCCTTCCTTCCTTCCTTCCTTCTTTCCTTCCTTCCTTCTTTCCTTCCTTCCTCAGAAGGGGGGAAAGAAAATCTTACAAATGACCATATTTTTCTCTGGTTACATACCTGCACAATACACAAGTTGGGGGTGAATTGTCTGCTGTGGGGTAAAAATGTCCCTTCAGTCAGGGTAGAAATTCAGAACAATGAAAGGTGTGCTTGATTCTAAAGGCCACCTATGCTATTCATGGACTCATTTAGGAATCTTTCAACAATTAAATTATTCCATTAAGAGTGGGGATGCATCGATGTGGAGGGGATAAAGCATCTAAAAAACTAGAAAAGGATTTTGTGACCAAATTTTGTACCAGAGGGAAGCAATCTAATAACGTTAAATAGCTGATTTGCCTAATCATTTTTTTCCAGCTTATTTCTTATGAATGTTGGATAGCTGCACCAGCTTGGGAGGAAAGGGGTTGATGAATAGCACAAAGACATTGGCTATTCCCTGGAGGCTGTCCCTTTAAAGGAGAATCCTAGTTTATTCTAGGGTAAGAAAGAGAGTTTGGAATAATATTGAAACACTCCCCTTCATAGTCATTTTACTGAGGTGCAAAAATTGATTTCTAAACTGGAGATGCTAACCTTGCCTAGCTACTTCTGTTCTCTTCAAGGAGAATTTTGTTAGGCTAAGGATTAATTTACAACTGGTAGTCATGTAAGCATGTGTGAGGAAACAGATGTCAGTTTTAATGTATTTAACCCTAAGTTACAATTTGATAGGAGCCAGTGTCAGTAGGTCTCAGGATTTTAAGCTATTTCAAAATCCCTCCTACTCCTGTTTAGAACAGTGCCAAATTTGCCTCTCTCTAGCTGTCACCCCAGCCCCCACAACCATCAGCACTCCCTTAGCCCCTCCTTTTTCTCTTTTAAGATCAATATTCCTGCAGCTCAGGAGCAAGCAGCAGATGGGTCACAGGCTTTTTCCAACCAGTTCTTTTCACAAGGAGCAGATTGCAGATCTGTATCTGGCTAATATTTGATTTCTTTTTCTCCCCGACCACTTTTTTTTTTCTTGGCCTCTTTTCACCCTGACCCTTTTCTCCAACACTCAGGTCTCTGAGGTTCCACCAAAATATGGAACTTGATTTTGGACATTTTGATGAAAGAGATAAGACATCCAGGAACATGCGAGGTTCACGGATGAATGGGTTGCCTAGCCCCACTCACAGTGCGCATTGTAGCTTCTACCGAACCAGAACCTTGCAGGCACTGAGCAATGAGAAGAAAGCCAAGAAGGTACGTTTCTACCGCAATGGGGACCGTTACTTCAAGGGGATTGTGTACGCTGTGTCCTCTGACCGTTTTCGCAGCTTCGATGCCTTGCTGGCTGACCTAACTCGATCTCTGTCTGACAATATCAACCTGCCTCAGGGAGTGCGTTACATTTACACCATTGATGGATCCAGGAAAATCGGAAGCATGGATGAACTGGAGGAAGGTAATTCAAGGAGTGGGTGGTGGCCCTTTGTGGGAGGTGGTATCATTGGTTATGGCTACATTTCTTGGATTTCATTGAAAGAAATTAGGGAGTGTATTTGTTAAACACCAGGTTGATGGTCAGGCTTCTGATTCTATAGGCATCAACAGAACCATTAGCTATCACCTTTCATGGCCTTCAGTCTCTGCTGGGGTTGAAGTGTAGTTGGTGGCAATAATGCATTGTACTTACTTGCCAGGGTTTACAAAGGAAAACCTGAATTGCATCATTTACTCTAGATCTTAATAATTATCTCTCAGAAGCACTATTAAGGCAAACCGTGAAATCATTAAGGGTTGTAAATGAGGAAAGAAGTTTGGTTGGATTAACAGAAAGGAAATATACCCAAATATCCTTTGAACTGCTAAGAGACTATTTGTGAATTACAACTCATGGAAATGTGCATCCTAAAAGCAGGACTTCCTGGACATGTTCACAAAGGATTATACTTTTAGGTAAGTGGTCACTGCTCAGCTGTTGCTTCTAATAAGCCCACTTCAGGGTGTGTCCCTAAGGCTGAGGTCATTAAGAGAAATACCAAAGAAAGCTGTAGGTATGTCTGGTATTTTAATAAAGACTCTTTCTATTAGAATAGAAACTGACTCACTGTACATAAATTCTTTTAAATCCTCTTTACATTTTGGTTTTGCAATTGAATTTTATGACTAGATTGCTGAAAATCCTGACAACCTATCTACCCACCCCCAAACAGGGGCCCAGCTCTTACCAAAACTTGGTCTTTCATGAAGCCTTTTTTGTAGTCATTTAGAAATAGATCTTAGGGTGCATTCTTATATTTTACTTGATCAAATAAATTATATTAGGAATGCCTCCCTACCCCCACTTTTAAATTGGTATAATATATTTGATCAATTTAACTTGAACACAATGCTTTAAAGGTCAGCCTCAAATAGTGGTAATAATAAAAATACTCCTGCCTAACCTCTGCCCCACACTCCAACCTTTCTTCTTCACTCTTCATTCCCTGAGCAATGGTGAGTTTACAGCACACAGATTTCTAGGGAAATCAAATTATAAAACAGCCAACAAAGAATGAGAAACAGCACATTCAATGACTTGGTGTGGGAGTGCCCCGCCTCTGCTTCATTGCTTCTAGGTTTCTTGTGTTCTGAGACAAAGGAGCATGAGGGCTTCCCTTGTACAGCCAAGTAGCTGCTATTCTTGCAAGTAGCTGCTATTTTCCAAGTCAGGTCAAGAGATTTGGGGCCAGTTACTTTTAAGAGACAGTGTCTATATAGCTGCTGGATCTAGGTCTCAGGGTTCAAGTCTGAGGTTTTTCTATATAAGTGACCTTGGAAAATGATGCAAGGGAATCTTAGATTATTTGATCATGTGTTAGATGGCCAGACAGAGGTTAATCCTAGGCTTTTACTGAACATTGAAGGATTGGTCATCCTAGTGTATATCTTAAAATAAAGGAGAGTCAGGGAAAACTGGAAGAAGGGATTCAAGTTAGATTGAGGGAGCTATCCAACAGAGTAATCGATAAGGTGTGTGTCTTTTGTCCTGTAAAATACACATCTCAGTTGAATTTGAGGGTTTTTTCTGTAATAATTTTCACAAACAAAGCAACGTGAATTACCCAATATATCCTCATTTTCACTAGCTGTGATCTTCTAAAGACCATGATAGACACTACCACAAGCTTCTGAACCAAGTGACATTGTATTCAGAGCAAGAATAGAATGTTTTTGTGTTTGATATAAGAAAGTTGTCATGCACTGATTTTTCCCCAAATCTATTTTTAACATGTGTTGCTCATATAAGCCCTTGCTATTGATTCTCCCTCAACCTCAGATTTGTGTGTATGTTATAATAATCTCAGTTCAATGTAGGTAATAAGTATAATTTTGAAGGCTGTAGCTTCCTTTTTTCTTGATCCTTTTGAGTCCTGTTAGATTGTACTCCTCTCATTTACAATTCCTACCTGCAGCGATAATACTTCCTGGTGAATTACTGGACTATGTAGAGTATAAACATGTCTGAGTTGCATTTATTCACATGTCATCTACAACCACAGGCTTCAGTGGCCATCAATGCCCCCCCACTCATCATTACTGCCCATTTAGTCAAGGAAATTCTGGGGTATCTCTGACATAGTGTTGAGAAATGTAATCGGTTTTCCCACTACCACAGAGGAAAATAAGAAAAGGTATCAGAATGAGGAGGATAAAGAAAAAAGAGTATTTTCTTCTCTCATTTTGTCATTTGGAACTAACTACTCATCTAGGAATGGAGAGCAGAAGTCCCTTACTTTGGTCACTTTTGGAAGAAGTTGAATGAAAGATATAAAAAGTCATATACATTGCTTCCCATGAGACTTCAAACTGAAAAAGTTTAGAAAGATCTCTGGGTGAAGAATCAGGGGCATTAGGTTCCAGTCTTAGAGGGAGAAGATAAAAATGGAAAACTATTTGTAATTAGATTTGATTCAAATTCAAGATCTGCCAATTGTTACCTTGTAACCTTGGGGAAACCATTTTTACTACCTGAGCCTCAATTTTTCATCAATAAAGTTAGAATAACTGCTCTGAGAATTAAATAAGACAATGTATATTGTGTTTAGTATTCTGCCTTGCACACAGTAGCACTCAATAAAGGGTAGGTATTAGTCTTTGAATCATCCTACTTTATAGTTCATTAGCTATATAACCATAGATTTATCATTCTCATCACAGTGACTAATGTTCTCTCTTTTTAAAACAACTCATCTTTAAAAAACAACTTTACTAAGGTATAAGTCACATACCATAAAACTCACCCATTTAAGTGTATACTTTGATTACTTTTTAGAAAATTTACTAACTGGTATAACCATCATCATAATTCATTTTAGACCATTTTCATCACCCTAAAAAGAAACCCAACCTTGACCATTGTGGCTCAGTTGGTTGGGCATCATCCCCCAAAACAAAAAGATCACCAGTTTGATTCCTGGTGAAGGCAAATGCTTGTGTTGTGGGCTCAGTCCCTGGTCGGGGTGATTGTTGTTTCTTTCTTACATTGGTGTTTTTGTCCCTCCCTTCTTCTCTCTCTAAACATAAATAAATAAAATATTTTTTTACAAAAAGAAAATAAATTCTGTAGCAATTAGCTGCCACTGACTATTTTCCTTACTCTCCAGTCCCAATCTACTTTAGGTCTCTACAGATTTTCCTACTCTGGGCATTTTATGTAAATTGATTCATACACTATGTACTTTTTTGTGACTGGCTCCTTTCACTTAGAAAAATGTTGTCAAGGCTTATCCATGTTATACCATGTATATACACTTCATTTTTTTATTGAGGAATAATATTCTATATATGCATAGAATATATTTGGTGTTTATTGTAATATAATTATCTATAAAATGAAACTAGTAAACCTATCTTCTTTATCTATTATGGCAGTTGTAAGGATAGGATCAAATAATAGATGTCAAAGCACATTGCCAAAGTAAAACTACAGCTGCAAGGTACCATTATTGTCAATGATGTAAAAATAATGATGATGATGATGATAATGATGATGATGATTGTGAGGCATTGGAATGGTCAGTGGTTTCCATATCTGTCTGCCTTTAAGAATCTTTCAGAGTTTTAGAATAATATAAATTCCTGGGCCACATCCTAGATCTATTGAATTAGAATCCCCATGACAATGGCTCCAGAATGTGTGTCCTTACAAAATTCCCAGGTGATTCCTATCACCACTTAGACTTGGAAATACTGGATTAGGTGATATTGATGGTCCCCTTCAGCTAACTACAGTGGTGGGAGTTCCTTAGCATGCAGAAATCCTTGTTTTTTTTTGTGGGTTTTTTTTGTTTTTTTTTAGATCTTAAAGGAATAATGGAGCATAGAACATACTACATTTTCAAATGGCCACATTATTAAATATCTAGCCTAAAATCAAATGAAATAAAAAGCAGTCATCTAATAATCACTCTTGCCTTGTGGCACTCCTTTGTCTAATGCCTCTAGTCCAGTGTCTGCTGCTAGATACTGAAAGTAGCAAGGGGAAAATTTGGGACCAAACTCAGTTTGATGTCAGCTTTTCCATAGATCTCTGGTTATACCAAGGATCTTAGCAAAGTAATGTAGAACATGGTCCTTATTAGCTATATTCCCAAGGACTAAAATCCATGAGTGACTTTTCCTTTTGTCTTGCTTAGTCTTCATCATTGAACCTTTTTCCTTCCCCTAATATCCTATCCAAATCTTTCTCAAATTTCTTATATATGAATATTCAGAACAATCTTACAGGCATTTTGAGCATTATTATGCAGACCATGGGACAGAATATGTATAATTGAGACAGTGTTGTTAGAAAATATGAGCTGTATAGTGACACTAGCTATGATTTATTTCCTTTGCCATAGATCATTTGTTCCAATGAGATGAAAATACCTTCTCACTAATTTATTCTCTGACTACTAAAGCAAGTACATTGCCAAAGAGGAAGACTTTAGCATACCTGGGAGAGATGTATCATTAATAGGTATGATGATACAATAAAGTACCATTTTATATGTTTCTTTTTGAGTAATGAAGCCATGGAAAAAAGAAGAGAGCCCAGGCAGAAGTGCTTTTGCACTGAGAAAATATAAATGTTTAATGTTTTTTTAAAATGGAGCCCTACTAAAAATGAAGGGAGGTAGACATTAGATCATCTTGAGCCCACAATTTGTTCCCTTCCTGCGCTTTTAGCTGTACTTGAATGACTTTATTTCCTTACCCCCTCACACTGAAGTACTTTGTCAATTCCAGCAAATCGTCATGTTGCTTGGCTCTCTGAAGTCAGTTTTTCTTTTGGGCTCCCAATGGGTAGGAAATGGCCCTTGGAATCTGTGACAAAATGAGAACTCAGCTGTGTAAAGTGGTAACACACCCCACCCAACTCCAAGTGCCAGGCAACTCAATGTGCAGGAAACATTTGAGCTCTGACAGCAGGTGTTGCAGACATTTGCAAAATTGGAACAAGGAAGCCTTGGTCTAGAGAAATTAGCATATTTGATGTCTTTCTAATAGTAGAATTGGAGATTCCTCAGTGGTAGGAAATGATTTCTTTAATATTTAAGTGCCATAATAGCTTTGTCTTCTAAAGTCCATTTGGGATACAGAAAAAAAAAAAAGAAAATTCCTTCTAATAGAGCTCTAGAATTAGAAAGGACTCCATGTCACTAGTGTAATATCTTCAATTTATAGGTGAAAAAGCTGAGACTCAGAGATTAAGTGATTTGCCTGAACCCACATAGTTTGTAAATGCTTGATTGGGATTTGAATCCAAGAACGTCTGACTCCCTATTTCACTGCTTTTAACCACTATAAATATTCTGCTTCTGTGTATGTGTGGAATGAGGGATGCTGATAATGGAGGAGACTATGCATGCTTGGGGGCAAATGGTATATGGGAAATCTCTGTACCTTCCTTTTAATTTTACTGTGAACCTAAAACTTCTCTAAATAATAAAATTAAAAAAAATCTTGCCCTCAGTATGCATAAGCAGTGACAGCATATCGCTTTATTAGCCATAGAGCTTCTATATTTCCAATTTGCAGCAACTGGAGCCTCCTCTTAACTGGTAGAAAATCTTATCTTTGAGGCATGAGACCCAGGCTGTCCTCATGTTCTGTGATGATTATAGCTCAGTTCTAAGATGGCTGCCCTTGCTACTTTCCCATTTCTTTCCTTCAGTTTCTATTCCTCCTCTTTTTCTTCCTGCCAGCTGTTTCTTCCTCTTTTCCATTTTTGCTCTTTCCTTCTTGTTCTCTTCAAATAAAAGCATTAATAATAAGTATAGCTGTAATTTATCAAGTGCTTACTATGTACCAGGCTATGGGCTCAACACTTCATGTCTGTCATGTGATTTGTGCCTCAAAATAACATTATGGGGTAGGGATTGTTACTATAGTCCCCACTTTGCGTACAAGTAACTGAGCCAAAGGCAGTTAGATAATTTGCCCAATGATATAGGAGTAAGTACTGAGGACCTCATTCTGACTGACATCACATCAGCTGCTCTTTTTCCATTACTTCAGTTTGGGGCCAAAGGAGAGAGAGTGGAGAGACTGAAAGGTACTTTTCAAAGATGCTTAATGTAGATTTGGCTGAGGGCTGGGCTCTCTGGAAAATTCTTGGATGCCATATGATGCTGTAGCTCTCTACTATCATGTTCAGTTTCATCTGGGAGTACTTAATCATATTCATAGTTCAGAGGATTAAGAGGTTTAAGAGATATGGGAGCAAAAAAAAGTCCAAATTCCTAATAGGGTCAAGAGCTGACTCCCTAGAAGAGACTGTAGGTTAGTGAAATAAGAAATATATAGCCTCACACATTTCTACACCACTAGTTGTCTAGTTGTCTGAGTTTTAAAGTGTATGACAAGTTATGAAAAACATCTGATGTAAAGACAGTGGTCTCTTAGAAAGTGCCCATGAAACTGGTGAAGTGCTAAGCAATAGGATGTTTCTAGGGTAGGGGGGATATTGGCTATAAATATATGGGGGAATTGAAAGACCCTTCCTTTCATCATTTTAAGTCACAAATGAAAGATCCTAGACTATAACGCTGGTTGATTTGTATTAACCAACAAGAGAGCCACAGAAATCAGGGTTTCTTTTATCTAAGGTTTTTAACCACCCTATTGTGTGTGTGTGTATGTGTGTGCACCAGGGTGCCCATGGTTACATACAAAGCATGAGAGGACACTAGCAGCTTCTGGCACTCAGAACAGTGTTGGAAGCCACTGAGCATATGTTGGAAGCCACTTACCCTTTCCCTCCACACACACCCATAAATGTTCTCAAAGGTGCCCTAGAGATTCTGACTTAATCTTTTCTCAGCAGTAACTGAGAAATTTATTAATTACCATGACTTAAAGGATTTGGTGCTACAGCAAAGCAATCAATATTTGCAAATAGAGTGCATTACCAACCCAGTGTTTCTGAATGTCTCTGCATGCTTGTCCTGCTGAGACCAAAGGAAGAAGAGCCACCAGACCATAAGTATATTTAGTGTTTTCTTTGTACTGACTAGAGTTGGTTTATTTATTTATTTATTTATTTATGTATTTGAGTCACTACTGGTAAGTTAAGCCTAATTAACTCATACTGTTTTTCTCCAGCTTGACCTCTGGATGAACTTCTGCATACCTTAAGGCAAATGAATTTTATTTAACAAATTCAACCTTTTCCAATATTCTCTCCCCCAGGCTGAGTCTACCTCTTTTGTTTTTCCCAACTTCTAGTCTCAGGTGTCTAATCACCTCCTTTTGTGTCTGGCCCTTGTATTTCTTCATAGTATTAGTTATTTCTTTATCCCCAAGGTACATGTGAAAATTACACTGGATCCCTCCAATCCATAAATCAGGCTATGTCATATACTCTTACATCTTAACCTCATTACTTGCAGCAGGCAAGGGTGAACACTGATGAAGATGGCCTTGAACACAGTGATGCATTTGAGAAGATGCAAAGATGAGGGTGGGTGGTAGAGACAAATAAGAGTTTTTCTCAAGCAAGAATTATAACTTGCAGACACAAAGAATATTGTGTTTGTGTGTATACAGGTTGTTATTCAGACAATTTTTCCAGCTGGGTGTGAGCAATAGAGGGCACAATTATTAATACATATGTACATTCAACACACATATATTTCCCATTTCAATATTCTGCTGGTTAGCTATGTTCTCTCTGCAAAGGACAATCTGACTTCTTGGCAAGTATGTACTATATGCCCAATATACAGGGTTATCGTGTCATTTTAATTTGGAATAAAAATTATCAACTTTGAAAGTTCTTGGTTTATAATATAACAATGGGACAGGGCTATGAGCCCAGAAACAGGACAGGGACATTAAGGAAGAGATACATGTGAGAGACACTCCAGGAATGCCCATAGATGTTAACAAACATCCTAGAAATTAACATAAACATTTCAATTCTAATAAGACCATACTTGCTAGGTTATATTTAAGTGTGTTCATTGTCTTTGGGACCCTTAGTTTCATAGGATTTTTTAAAAGATTTGATTTACTTTTTAGAGGTGGGAAGGGAGGGAGAAAGAGGGGGACAGAAACATCAATGTGTGGTTGTCTTACATGCGCCCCCCACTGAGGACCCAGCCCACAACCCGGGTATGTGCCCTGGACTGGGAATCAAACTGGCATCCCCCTGATCCACAGGCCAGCACTCAGCCACTGAGCCACACCAGCCAGGGCTATAGGGTTTTTAATTAAACCAAGTGTGCCATTATAATGAAGAATGTTTTTCTGATTACTTGCTCTTGAATTTGAATAAGCTAAGTTGTTAGAGAGCCCAATTAGAAATTGTACTTAAGGTTGTTTATTATCACTGTTTCTCCAAAAGTTGTACTTTCAGATCAGTGTATATTAGTTGGTAGAATAGTCCATATATCTGCTATTAAACTAATTACCTCTTATGTCTTCCCTTAGGGGAAAGCTATGTTTGTTCTTCAGACAACTTCTTTAAAAAGGTGGAGTACACCAAGAATGTCAATCCCAATTGGTCTGTCAATGTGAAGACATCTGCCAATATGAAAGCCCCCCAGTCCCTGGCTAGCAGCAACAGTGCCCAGGCCAGGGAGAACAAGGACTTTGTGCGCCCCAAGCTGGTGACCATCATCCGCAGTGGAGTGAAGCCTCGGAAGGCTGTGCGTGTGCTTCTGAACAAGAAAACAGCCCACTCTTTTGAGCAAGTCCTCACTGACATCACTGAAGCCATCAAACTAGAGACCGGGGTTGTCAAAAAACTCTACACCCTGGATGGAAAACAGGTATGTGGCTTTTTCAGACTACTTTTTTTCTCATTTGTTCTAAATCCGTGGATGGTTATCTTATACATAAGGCATCATTTCTGGTTAAGGGACTCTTCCTCCACCTCTCATCATTGCAATCTGATATTTTATGTCTCATTTGTAAGAAAAGTCTTTTTAGCAGACAAAGCAATGGACCAAGAATCTGAGGCTTTTAAATTCAGTCTGCTTCTGACTTACCAAGTAAAATGATCACAGCCTCAACTTTCTTACCTTTTAAGAAAAGATGTGTTAGAACCTATGTCCTACATTTTTATGTATATGAATTTAGCTATTACATAAGGCAAGCTCCCTTGTTCAATGTATGTGACTAAAAATGGGCTTCCCCCACTCATTTATTATTCGATTTCCTTACATTGGTATTCAGCATTCATTCTGTTGAAAAGAGATTGAAGTAACTCATGTATCCTATGATAAAAGTCACATCTGGTGGAAGCACTAAAATATCTGGTTTGTTGTCTTTGCCTCACTACACCATGTATTTTTTCTCTCTTTGTTTTCCATGTATGTGGCTATCTTATTTTCATTCTGCTGATGGTTTGTGTGAGAAAGGGACTGTTTCAGGATCCTAAAATTAGCCCAGGAAGATGCTGCCATCTGTTCTCTTTCAAATCAGTATCTTCATGTCATTGGTTATGCTACTAAAGTACCACCTATATTAATATCTGGGAAAGAATGTAGCCAGACATCACCATTAGACAGATGCACCATTCTCTTGAGCATAGGGAGCTGTAAATATGTGACAAAAAAAATGTTCCAAGGAAATTGGAAGAGTGGCTGGGTCTGTTGGCTCTAAAGAGAATCCTAGTCCCCCATCAGAGAAGATAAGTGTAGATTATTATTAGTCTATACTTTCTACCTCATAAAATACCTTTGGTGTTTGAACAAAGGGGATGATCACACCTGCTCTACCCATGCTCACAGGATTCTCATGAGGATTAAAGGAAATCATGGATCTGAAAGCACTCTATAAAGTAAAACACATGATATAAATATGTATGCATAATATTCATTAAATAAGATAAATATGTAAATGGAAATGTAATATATATGTATATATGTATATATAAATAAATGTTAGATCTCTTCCCTTTACCTCAATCATTCTTAGATTGAACTTCCAACATTTTTGTGGTGATATATCATACTTTGGCATTCTGTGACTTCTTCTAATAATAAATAAAGGGACATCTCCACCTCCTGGGCAAGCAAGTTCCAGTCCAGTGATGGGTAGATTTTTACCTTATAGCAGGACACACAGAATAGCAATCCAACTCTTTCAAGCATCATCTCCCATTCTGGGGGGCAGTACATTACAAGATGCCAGTGTATGATATGATGTGTGTACAAAAGTGTCAATAGGCAGTGCTCAAAGGAGCAAAACAATGCTTTGTCAGGCATCAGTGTTACTGTTGATAGTGTTCCTTCTCTTTAAAAAGTTTCCCTCTGCCTATTTTGACCCCTGGGAGTTATCTTTTAAGGCCTGGTTCATGTTATGTTATCTCTGAAACTCTGTCTCCACTATGCAAAGTTAAAACAATCTTAACGTTTTTAAATGGTCAGTTCCTGATACATTGTGGATGCTCTATAAATGTTTGCCGATTGAATGAACTAACATAAAGAGATTCTCATATGGCTCAGGTAGATGTTCTGAGACACCCTCTGCTTTCAAAGCTCTAGACACTTTCCTTAGGTCTATCTGAAGAGATAGATGCCTTTCCAAAAGAGTGGATATTCTACAGGAGAGGCTCCTGTACCTTACTTATTTGGAAGTCACTGAGGGCAGACTTTTAAAGCAGTATTTCCCAAAGTATATGGTAAGAACTATCCCTACAACCTTGGCCTGAGAAACTCTATAAAAGGTTGCTGTGGCCAAATAAGTTTGTAAAAATGCTACAAATCATATGCCTTTCTTAGAGATTCATAGTGTTTATTAGTATATTAAATATTCTGAGAAGTCCTGCAGAAAGGAAATCCATTTAATTTAGCCCCAGAATTTCCCAGTATTATTTAACACAAATATGTTGTATGAAATATACACACACACACACACATATACATATGTATGTATATTTATATATGTATATATGAATATATATAATAGAATATATATCAATATATAACAGAATATGTAATGGGACAGGGGTTCCCACCAAAATGGAGGTGTAGATAAAAACACTTTGCTTCCTCACATAACCAAAAGGATAACAGCCAATAAAAAATAACCCAGAACTGCCACAATAGCAATCTGCATGAAACTCTGACAACCAAGGTGTTAAATAAACTGGAGAGCATTATGCTAAGTGAAATAAGCCACAGGGTGAAAGACAAATACCATATGATCTCACCTGTAAGTGGAACCTAATTAACAAAACAAACAAGCAATCAAAATATAACCGGAGACATTAAAATAAAGAACAAACTGACAGTAACCAAGAAGGGGGAGGAGGATAATAGGGGATGTTAGGGAAAGGGCCATCAAGGAACATGTATAAAGGACACATGGACAAATCCAAAGGGGGTAGGTTTGAGGGTAGGAGGTGGGGAAGGGTGGGGGAGGGGCTGTGGTGGGGTGAAAATGGAGACAACTGTACTTGAACAATAAAAAATTAAAAAAGAAATATACATCCAGACCAGTAGGAGGGGTGATGAGGAGACGGGCAGCCAAGCGGGTAGAGAGGACCAGCAGCAAGGCAGTGGACTGAACTGCACTGGTGAGGAGGGGCTGGCTCATAGGGAAGCTAAGACTCAAAAGGTCTAGCTGTAAATATTGAGGGGGTTATAAAGATGGGAGAAACTCCCAGGCTCACAGGAGAGTTCATTGGAAATTGGGGCAACAGCAGAATGAGCAAACAGCATTGTTCCCTCTCTGAACCCTCCCTAACAGACAGCACTACAATGTAGCAAAGAGACTTGCCCCACCCAGGTGAATGCCTAAGGTTCTGCCCCCTTATAACATAACAGGTATGCCAAGACAAAGAAATATGGTCCAAATGAAAGAACAGATCAAAACTCCAGAAAAAGAGCTAAGCAATGAGGAGATAGACAACCCATCTGATACAGAGTTCAAAACACTGGTGATCAGGATACTCACAGAATAGATTGAGCTCAGTCAGAAAATGAAGGAAGAAAAGAAGGTTACCCAAAGTGAAATAAAGCAAAATATACAGGGAACCAATGGTGAAGGGAAGGAAACTGGGACTCAAATCAATGATTTGGAAGAAAAGGAAGAAATAAACATCCAACTAGAACAAAATGGACAAAGAAGAATTCAAAAAAATGAGGAGAGGCTTAGGAACCTCTGAGGCAACTTTAAATGTTCCAACATCCAAATTGTAGGGCTACCAGAAGGAGAAGAGGAAGAGCAAGAAATTGAAAACTTATTTGAACAAATAATGGTTAACTCCCCCAATCTGGCAAACCGAATAGACTTCCAGGAAGTCCAGGAAGCTCAGAAAGTCCCAAAGAAATTGGACCCAAGGAGGAATACACCAAGGCACATCATAATTAAGTTACCCAAGATGAAAGATAAAGAGAGAATCTTAAAAGCAGCAAGAGGAAAGAGGAGAGTTACCTATAAAGGAGTTCCCATCAGACTGTCAGCTGATTTCTCAAAGGAGACCTTGCAGGCATGAAGGGGCTTGAAACAAGTATTCAGAATCATGAAAGACAAGGACCTCCATCCAAGATCACTCTATCCAGCAAAGCTTTCATTTAGAATTGAAGGGCAGGTAAAGTGCTTTCCAGATAAGGTCAAGTTAAAGGAGTTCATCATTCCCAAGCCCTTATTATATGAAATGTTAAAGGGACTTATCTAAGAAATAGAATAAGCTGAAAAACTACAAACAGTAAAATGACAGCAAACTCACAACTATCAATAATTGAACCTAAGAAACAAAAACTAAGCAAATAAGTAGAAGAGGAACAGAATCGCAGAAATGGAGATCCCATGGAGGGTTATCAGTGGGAAGGGGGAGAGGGAGAATGGGGAAAAGGTACAGGGATAAGAAGTATAATTGGTAGGCACAAAATAGACAGTGGGAGGTTAAGAATAGTATAGGAAATATAGAAGCCGAAGAACTTACATGTACAACTCATGGACATGAACTAAGGGGAGCGGGAATTCTGGAGGGAAGGGAGGTGCAGGGTGGAGGGGGGATAAAGGGTAGAAAAAAGTGGGACAACTGTAATAGCATAATTGATAAGATACACTTAAAAAGAATGTGCATTGTAGAATATATAATATGGAATGTATGTATTGTGGAATATATATAATGGAATATATATAGTGGAATATACACATACACATATATTCTTCAAAGCACACTAGGAAATGCTATTTACAGGAGATGCTGAATAATTGAAAAGTAACTGTTCTAACCTCACTGGTAAGATTGGTATGCATGGGGTAACCCACTAATCAAACATTGTTGTGTGGTTACAGCAAGGACATTAAATAACAATATTTGGGGGTACAGGGACAAATCTACTAATTACAGAACAGGCTCTAAGTATACTGAAAGTTGGTGCCAAACTCAAAATCATGGATCCCAGCCCATTTCCCAATTCTAGTGATGACAGCTCTAATGTTAACACCTATCAGTCACTGATTATTGGTGGGTATTCTTACTACTTGGGAATATGTTCTTCCTCTATTCAGGCAGAAGGCACATATGTTGTAATGGCTTGGACTTGCTTGGATGAGATCCCGTTTAGCCTGTTTTTAGTAGAAAGGACAAAGTATGGTCAAGGCTATTTTTTATTAACAATTTTAACATGAAATTAAGGCCTTCACTTGATTTTTGTCTTGTTCCAACTGGATCCCAGATAAATTAGAACAAATGTTTTTCTCCTATGTTTCAAACAACCCGGTTGATCATACCAGATTGATTGTTGCTTCTATTTCCATGTGTACCATTTGACAAACAATTTGCGGACATGGTTCTCATCTCTTTATCTCC